CATTCAGCCTTGTGGATATTGTATTGTCACTCTGCTTCTTTTATGCATTGATCTATAAATGAATCAGATGAGGCGATTTCAATGGTATCTTTTATTTCTAGCTGAGGTGGGTAATTCATATACCTACGATATACCTATGCTCAGTTAAACTTCTTTCCATGGTTTTGATTTTGCTAATCAGAGCAGAAATTCTGAGTCGCGTGCATAAAGAAACAGATCAGCCAGTTGGGGAGCACAATCGGTGCCCATGGGGGATTTCACTAAAGCCTTAAATGCCTCGGACCCGTCATTTTTCAAATTGAGCAAAGATGCTGTCGTAAACCTGCAACCTTGATTAAAGTAGAGCTCAACTTAACTAAGAAACATGTCCATTGCACCTTCAGTAGGCCACAGTACATTCAGCACTACGTCATTTCTTCTGAGAACTATTTATAACAACGCCCCAATGTGTCCAAGTGGAGTAGTATGTGTTGTATACATGTAGCTAGTTTAGCAGACCTCAAATCAGATTTACCACTGGCTAAAGGTAGTATGTACGTGAGGTACTCTGATTTTACTTTACACTCTCATTGAACCTTTTAGAATGAAAGCATGAAGAAATATTTTGTTTCTGTGTTGAGAACTTTTGCCATCATATGGAGGAAGGGCCTATGTAATGATTAACTTGCTTGATTAGTTGCTGCAAATATGGCTGAGGACCGTGTTAACTAGACTTGTATCGATCATATTACCGCACTGTATCCTTGCAGTGCTACGATAGAATGGTGTCGACAAACCATAAATCGTCACCAGGGTTAATCAGGGACTCGAACCCACGATCACATCCTGACACGGCTAATGGACGCATCAGCCAATTGCGGTGCCTCAAACCAATATTCCTAATTGCCCTTGTTAAAGTGACAACATAACACAATATTGTTCATTTAAATTGTTTATTAAAAATATTTTCCAATAAGTATGAACAAGGACAATGAATACACATATTTTCACAGTCGTGTTTTCTTAAACGTTGCTCTCAATCAGGTTTGTATTAACAGGGTGAGTATACAATAATCAAGTTGAGATGGAGGCACTGTACAGAAAATATACATCTGAGGGGGTAAGGCCGCTTTTAGCAGAATATAAATCCATCGGAACACCATGGAGGACGTCATGAATGTGGGGATCGAACCGTGGTCTTAGGCTTGGTTGGTTTGTTGTTTAACGCCACACTCAGCGGTCTGTAAATTATCGAGTCTGGACCAGCCAATCCAGTGATTGACATCCTGAACATCGATCCACGCAATTGGGATCGATGACATGCATCAACCAAGTCAGCGAGCCTGACCGCCCGAACCCGTTAGTCGCCTCTATAGACAAGCATAGTTGGTTGGTTTGTTGTTAAACGCCGCACTCAGCAATATTCCAGCTATACGACGGCGGTCTGTAAAAAATCGAGTTTGGACCAGACAATCCAGTGATTATTATCATCAGCATCGATCCACGCAATTGGGATCGATGACATGTATCAACCAAGTCAGCGAGCCTGACCACCCGATCCCGTTAGTCGCCTCTATAGACAACCATAGTCGCCTATTACGACAAGCATAGTCGCCTTTTACGGCAAGTATGGGTTGCTGAAGACCTATTCTACCCCGGAATCTTCACGGGTCTCTTAGGCTTGGAGGAGAAAACACTTTAACCACTAGGCAACCCTACAACCTCACGATTTTGTGAGGCTAAACGTAATATTGTAAAGTACACTGTGAATACACAAAACATGTGTGAATTGCTATAATATATGAAATACAATCATCACTATAATCAATATTAGTATCACTTGTATTGGTATTTACACTGACACCGATAGAATATGACCCGGATCTGTAAAGGACCGCTTGTCTATAAAGTTGGCTAAGGCTAGGTATCCCAGTGTGTACCGATACTATGGAGAACCCCTAGGCTTGTTAGGAAGGTGGTCAAATGAATACATCCAGAGCAGCATGGCTCAACCACATCTGTATATATCCATTCTCCTGATTTGTAAACACCACTAACATGGCGGAACCCAACGTTGACCCACAGCAACAAAAAACTGAACTTTGAAATTCAAAACAATTAGTGAAATTCAAATATTTACGTTTGCTTTAATTTTTAAATATGCTTAATAAATATTTAGAATGTCACTTGGCTGAACATATCCAGGGTAGCATGGCTCAACTACGCCTGTATATAGCCACCCTCCTGACAGACCGAAAGAAAATGTCATATAAACATGTTTCAGAATCCAATGATTATTTTCCTAGCAGTTATGACGTGGTAATGGCGTTATGTAATACTGTCCATCCTAATACCATTGGATTGGAAGAGTAATAAATAGGTAAATACTTAGGGTATTCGCTAAGGGCAGCAACATTTGTAACATGACTTCCAATTCCAATAGTAAATTTACAGAATTTAATCTGAAATTTTTCAAATGCTGCAATTTTTGAATAGCCCCACATTTCTGAAGTGTATAATAATACAGGCTTAATTTGACTGTCAAATATTTAAAAAAGTATATGTACGGGTATGTCTTCAAACAATGATGTAATTTCTTAACAACGAACAGAGCCTTATTTGCCTTCTGAACAAGAGAGTTGATACTAGTCGTCCAACACAGCCGATTTGAAAATAACAAACCCAGATAATTATAATAGGTAGATATATTAACATTAACATCTCCAAACCTCAATTTCTCAGTACTCCTAAGTTTTCCACCATTTCTGAAAACTATAATTTCAGCCTTACTAAGGTTAACTTCTAAACCCCATTTAGTACAGAAAGATTTAAGGATATTAAGTTTTCGTTGGAGACCATCTACAGTATCATCAATTATGCACAAATCATCGGCATATAATAACAACAAAATGTCTAGAGATTCTTGACTCACAAATATTCCCCTCTCGCCGGAGGCCTGCAACATTGATTCTAATTCAACAATAAGCAAAGAGAATAATATTGGGCTAAGGGTGCAGCCTTGGCGTACACCACTTAGCGTTTCAAAGTAGCAAGTTGCTGTGCTATTTGATAACTTTACAGCCGATTTCACTTTTAAATACATATCTTTAATGACATAGAATATTATTCCATGTATACCCTTATTTAACATGACATACCACAACAATTTTCTATTTACACAATCAAAGGCTTTTCTAAAATCAACAAATAAACAGTACAATCTGCCATTAGCTTTAGATAAGTATTTCTGTATTAGACTTTGCAACACAAATATATTATCAATGGTGCTGTATCCAGCCCTAAAACCTGCCTGAGACTCTGGTATCTTATCGTAAATGTCACAAAACATAGTAAGCCGTTTATTAAGAATAAAAGTAAATATTTTACCCAATACATCACTAAGTGTAATACCCCTATAATTGTTAACATCAAATTTGCTGCCTTTCTTATGAAGGGGAGTAAGTAAACCTCGAGCCCAATCCTCAGGAAAATTACCACTCTGCAAAATAGCGATATATAATATAACTAGATAAGGAAGAAGACTACCCTTGCAACACTTTATCATTTCTTGTAGAACTCCATCGGGACCAGCCGCCTTACCATCTTTCAAATGATTAATAGCATGTAAAATTTCTGGTTCAGTGATTTCACAATTCAAAATATCATTTAATTCTTCATCATTGCAGACAAAACAGTTAGATTCCTCGTGTTCATAAACAAAACTCTCAGCGGAAGCAAGATTATCATGATCAACATCATAATCAGTTATATTCAAAATATTTTTAAAGTAGGAGACCCTTTCAGATGGAGCTATAAACTGAGTTGCATTACTGTTTTTTTTTATACAAGTCCCTTCACTTGGTTCCAGAAGATCTTAGGACTACAAGTATGAGACATTAAATCCTCAAGTAATCGCTCTTCAAAAATCAATTTCTTTTGTCTACACATATTTCGATACGCATTTCTTAACTGTCTAAACTGTTGTAAATAGTTCAGATCACCAGTTATTCTAAACATATTAAGAATACGATATTTCTCATGTTTCAGCTCTTTACATTCGCTATCATGCCATCTTGCTCCTGAAAATGTACATATGTTTGAGCTTGTAATTACCTTCATATCACTGACAGAAGCACAAGTAATGATCAATGATGTCAATTTTGTTACTGCACAATCAACACCGCTAGAAATATCACCCATGAAATCATCAAAACCATATGATGATAGCGAGTCCCGAAGTAACTCAGAAAACACTTCAGCCTTACCAGCACACCATCAGTATCTACAAATAGATTCTGCATTATCAGCATTCATGTTACTGATAACATTCTCTGTATCTGTAACAGCAAACTTAAACACAATGGGAAAATGATCTGACTCATCTTGTGGCTACAATGAAATCATAATTAGTACTAAATAATTCAGATGAACATAAACAATAATCAACCATGCTGGCACCCCCACCAGCAAAGCATGTAAAATCCCCGCGGGGATCTGATTTTGTTCTCCCATTCATCATATGTATATCGAGAGAACAGCATAAATCCATTTAATCACAACCATAGGAGTTTACATGATCATCTGTCCACTTTCTAGATATGCTAAAACTGTCAGTTTTATAATTCAAATCTTCCAGTGAAGGAATGTATTTGTTGCCATCCTGTAAAATATAATCCTTTAAGTTGCCTGTTCTAGCATCCATATCACCCATAATCACAAAAACAAAATCTTCAATATCAGCATCTGTGATGCACGAGAGCAAACAGTTTTCTAAATAATCAATCCCTTTCTACAGTCTTGGGTCGCTCCGGACGGATGAATATACAGGGTGAATATGACGACGGTCTGTAAATAATCGAGTCTGGACCAGAAAATCCAGTGATTGACATAATGAGCAACCAAGTCAGCGAGCCTGACCACCCGTTACTCGCCTCTTATCGCAAGCATAGCCGCCTTATAAGGCAAGCATGGGTTGCTGAAGACCTATTTTACTCCGTATCTTCACGGGCTAGTTCTTGAGATTACGCGGAGTAAGGAAGGGGATCCAGACTAGTCCAATCCAGTCCTTGAGTTCCGATACATCGCGGAGTAAGAAGTCCATTACGACAAGTCCAATCTGGTCGTTGAGGGTTCGTATACATATACGGAGGTAGGAAGCTTGACCTTGAGACTTGGAGGGAAAGCCTGTTGGACAAAGTTTGCTTGATATTAATTCAGAGGATGGCTGTTTGAACATACTTGTATACAGTCACGTTTCTGTTATATACATGGGGACATTACGCACATTTTTTGAGCAAGACAGTATAAAGGTGAAGAATAATTTGTGTGTTATACTATCCTGCTATGCCTATATACGTTTTTGACAAATGTTGTCTCAAGTTAGTGATGTTCTTTTCCCATTTTCAACAGAATCTTGTATATTCTACAGATAATTGTATCGATTCATTGTTTGCATAATTCAGCATTCAGATACTCACCATTGTCCATAAGCATTTGTGTAGTTGACAGGAGAGTCAGGTGTGGGAGTCACGAGAAGGTTACAGCTGCGGTAATGGGACCTGTTCACATACAAATTCTGATTAGATGTTGAGTCATATGGAATGGAATGGAATAGAAACTACAGGTAAGATGTCTTTTTTCTTCGAATAGCCTACAGAGATACAATTAAGATGCATAATATTCAAACATCAAAAATAAGATAGCTGCACGATATATCGCAAAGAACAATGAAGAACGAAGCGTGATTTATTTCACAATAAATCATTGTTCTATCATGACGTCATTTCTGGAGATTCGAACATGCCCTCGCAACATGACGTCGTAAATTGGACGACGTTATTGTTTACAGGGAAGTATCCAGTTAGTTGTTTCCAATAAGCTGGGCAAAGTCGATAAGCGCGATGGCCGAAGGATCGCATCCAAAAGTGGGCGAGATATGACAATCGACACTGTGAGAAAAGGTTGATATAATCGAGAATTGTGAGAATATCCAAGAAAAACCAAAAATTAACACCCCTTTTCATAAATAAACTTGTTCGACATGGCTGAGGTCTGATTGTATTCAGGGAGTCATTATTCGAATACGGGTAAATATTTGTAAAGCTTGTACATCCTATTAACGTCCTTCAAAAGGCTGTTCATAATGTTGATATCTCATAAGAAAATAAAGTATATAATTTGAAACTCACCTTACGAATTTGTTGTGTTGAAAATACATCCATCTTAATGGACTTGGAATCTGTGTACCTATCACGTGGTATCTGATGCAAACAAATGGCAGTGGCATCGGGCTGTGGTAATGCGACCTGTACATGAAGACATTGTGATGAGATCTAATTTCCTATACACCAGGAACATTCATTTAGAATAGCGTAGACCAGAGGAATGTTCTGGAAAAGAAAATACAGATGGCATGCCCTGTATCTACGAATAAGTTTAAGATATAATTAAGATTCATGCCTTTCAAACATCAAATAAAGTATATAGTTTGAAACTCACCCTGTGAATTTGTTGTGCTGAAGATGCATCCCTCTTTGTGGTTGACTTGAGATCACGTGGTATGTGGTGAGATCACGTGGTATGTGGTGTGATCAGGGGCGATGGCATCAGTCAGGGACCGTCCTCCAGTTCAGACATACAATGTATCCAGCAGTAGGTCCACTGGGGTAGTATTGCTCATATAGCACATCATGACGTCATTCACAGACGGGCAAACGACGCTACCCCTCATAATGCCAATAGCATCGAACATGGTTAGGAATGTACTCCATCTTTAATTTCAAGTGTCAAGAATACTATTTGAAATAAATTGATTCCATAGCCAAGGGTAAATAATACTATACAAGAAATACTCGTGTGATAAGAGCTACTCATTTTAAAGTACGTACAACCTTTCTGCTTTATAATCCTTCGAAAACGTCACTGTCTAAAGACGCTAACTAGGTGAGGTGAGGTGAAATGGGGTTTACGTCGCGTCCAAGATTATTGCACTTATATAGCGACGTGCATGCATGTGTATGTGTGTGTGTGGCTGCTTGTACTAGTCCGGACTAATGCCGATTTTTAGTGCTAGCACACTGAGATACCATGCCGCAGTTTAACATGAATACCCCACTCAGACACAGTATACTGACTGTGAGCCGACCAGTACTTGTTTTAGCCCCTTAATGCCGAGCGCCAGACAGGGTAACAACAAGTACCATCTGTTAATGTCTATTGGTATGACGCGGCCGGGGATCGAACCCCGGACCTTCCGTTTTCCGGGGGGACGCTCTACCATTAGACTACGGAGGCGGTCTAAACGCTAACTAAATACCACTACCCGAGAAGATGCTTGTGAATACAACCGAGTCGCCGTTCAACTAGAAGGTGTTGGCGGGTGTTTCAGGTAGGAGAACGAGCCATGAAACATAAAACACCCCTCAACACCTTAAAGCCGCCGAGTCATCAGGAAGTACACATGACCATCCAGGTGTTGTAAGTGGACGATCGTCCAGAAAATCATGACTATGTAACGCTTATGGGCGATGTATCTGGTCAGTGAGCAATAGTGGCATAAGAAATGTGCGTTGCCCCAGTTGGCAGTAGTGACATAAGACGAGCACGAGTACAGTAGCTGCTATTAACAGTAAACTATTGATTTCAAGGTATTGCTGTGTGGATAGAACGTTTACGTTGTAAACTGAGGCACCAACATGTTGAGGTGAAACTGAATTAAACACGAAGATATATTCATACGGCCAAAATACAGTGCTGAGATACCTTCGTTATCTGGTACATTATAGGAAGCAATAAACATGTACATGTCAATTTGGTTCAAACATTCCAACAGAAAAATAACCTCTGTAGGCTGCCCTTAGTCGGAACATGGGTATAGAAATCAAGTGTAATTCCTGCACATGAAGCGATGTAATTGGCAGGTGTTAGGGAAGGTAACATTGACTGTACCAAACCTGAAGAAGAAAGAGTATTTTGTTGAACAGAATAATTCAGTGGCTTTTTAAAACGTAGATAATTCCATTTGAGTTGCAAAATAGTTTCGATAATGGACGAACGGTTACTATCGACACTTGTTTTACAAAGATATACATAGAAATAATGTCATTTACATCTTGAACTAAAATTAAATGAAGTTCTACTTACCGTATGTAGCGGAGAAACGCCTAGTTGACATGGTTGCTGAGGCTGGCTGGCTGGTTGGCTGGCAACAGTAGGGCGACTCGGGCTGGTTGGCTGGCAACAGTAGGGCGACTCGGGCTGGTTGGCTGGCAACAGTAGGGCGACTCGGGCTGGTTGGCTGGCAACAGTAGGGCGACTCGGGCTGGTTGGCTGGCAACAGAGTAGGGCGACTCGGGCTGGTTGGCTGGCAACAGTAGGGCGACTCGGGCTGGTTGGCTGGCAACAGTAGGGCGACTCGGGCTGGTTGGCTGGCAACAGTAGGGCGACTCGGGCTGGTTGGCTGGCAACAGTAGGGCGACTCGGGCTGGTTGGCTGGCAACAGAGTAGGGCGACTCGGGCTGGTTGGCTGGCAACAGTAGGGCGACTCGGGCTGGTTGGCTGGCAACAGTAGGGCGACTCGGGCTGGTTGGCTGGCAACAGTAGGGCGACTCGGGCTGGTTGGCTGGCAACAGTAGGGCGACTCGGGCTGGTTGGCTGGCAACAGTAGGGCGACTCGGGCTGGTTGGCTGGCAACAGTAGGGCGACTCGGGCTGGTTGGCTGGCAACAGTAGGGCGACTCGGGCTGGTTGGCTGGCAACAGTAGGGCGACTCGGGCTGGTTGGCTGGCAACAGTAGGGCGACTCGGGCTGGTTGGCTGGCAACAGAGTAGGGCGACTCAGGCTGGTTGGCTGGCAACAGTAGGGCGACTCGAGCTGGTTGGCTGGCAACAGTAGGGCGACTCGGGCTGGTTGGCTGGCAACAGTAGGGCGACTCGGGCTGGTTGGCTGGCAACAGTAGGGCGACTCGGGCTGGTTGGCTGGCAACAGTAGGGCGACTCGGGCTGGTTGGCTGGCAACAGAGTAGGGCGACTCGGGCTGGTTGGCTGGCAACAGAGTAGGGCGACTCAGGCTGGTTGGCTGGCAACAGTAGGGCGACTCGGGCTGGTTGGCTGGCAACAGTAGGGCGACTCGGGCTGGTTGGCTGGCAACAGTAGGGCGACTCGGGCTGGTTGGCTGGCAACAGAGTAGGGCGACTCGGGCTGGTTGGCTGGCAACAGTAGGGCGACTCGAGCTGGTTGGCTGGCAACAGTAGGGCGACTCGGGCTGGTTGGCTGGCAACAGTAGGGCGACTCAGGCTGGTTGGCTGGCAACAGAGTAGGGCGACTCAGGCTGGTTGGCTGGCAACAGTAGGGCGACTCGAGCTGGTTGGCTGGCAACAGAGTAGGGCGACTCAGGCTGGTTGGCTGGCAACAGTAGGGCGACTCGAGCTGGTTGGCTGGCAACAGTAGGGCGACTCGGGCTGGTTGGCTGGCAACAGTAGGGCGACTCGGGCTGGTTGGCTGGCAACAGTAGGGCGACTCGAGCTGGTTGGCCGGCAACAGAGTAGGGCGACTCGGGCTGGTTGGCTGGCAACAGTAGGGCGACTCGGGCTGGTTGGCTGGCAACAGTAGGGCGACTCGGGCTGGTTGGCTGGCAACAGTAGGGCGACTCGGGCTGGTTGGCTGGCAACAGTAGGGCGACTCGGGCTTGTTGGCTGGAAACAGTGTAGGGCGCCTGATGCTGGCTGGCAACAGTAGGGCGTCTGAGGCTCTCTAGGGTAACAGTAGGGTAACCGAGGCTGGTTGGGAGGCTGGCAGCAGAGTAGGGCTAATGAGGATATCTGGCAACCGTAGAACGACTGAGGATGTCTGGCAACAGAACGGCGACTGAAGATTATTCCTTAAGCTGAACAGGACTGGGGACAGGACTGGGGGTGACTGTCAACTGTCTAACGCTTGTCTGATGAAATCATCTTGATACTTTGTGACGACACCTGGAGTGAGCAGAAAAGTGTTTCGTTAACATTAATAAAATACCAGCTGTTACAGTTACTTATTAATACTAATATTAGAAAAAATAGCATCTGTCTAGTTAATACTTCGACAATTCTACGTGAAACGACTGCAGATTAACACGTGTCCTGCTAACACGCTATTCAAAGCATCCAATTGTAAGAATAAACACACATGCATTGTGTACCATTTCATATGCTTTACACCGCACTTAAAGCATGATGTATTGGGAGTGCAACTTACACCTTCAGGTCGACTATGTTACTTGTGGCTTACAACGTTAGCAACGACCCACAATAAATGGGTACTGGGTTTTAATCAAATTCGGTATATTATTTGTTTAGAAAAAAGAAAAGACTATATGAAACTCACGGAAGTCCTCTGTGCTTCGTCCAGAAGACATAGCAACTCCTCGTATGACTGTGTTGGTTGCCCTCGTTGCTGTTGGCGCTGTTGTCGTTGCCTTTTCCGCCGGACCTGGCGTTGGTTTCTCCGTTCTGTTCTTTGCCTGGCCTCGTCCGGTGTATGGTTCTGAGTGAGAAAAGTCATTGAAAATATAAATGAACAACATTTCATGACTGCGTATAATTATATGTTGTATTAATAGCTGCTAATGACATAAGATTACTTAATAGTTGTGATAAGGAATAGTGTGTGGCAAGTTATGCAATAAAAAAACTATTTTCAGTTTCAAGTGAAACCTGTCAGATCCGTTTTCCCCTTAAATATTTATAAGAAGTTATCTTGACCTTTAAATTATTATATTGTATTCAACTTTCTCTGGCAATGACAAATTTTTTTATCTATTTTAAAATCTAAATGCAACTTTCTTATCTTATTTATTATTATTACATTATTACATTATTATATATATTCATATATATAAATGTTCTTGTGTGAGTAGGTGAATGTTGTTTAACGCCGCAGACAGCAATATTCCAGCTCTATCACGGCTGCCTGTCATCCGGACCAGTGACAAACGGGCAGCATGAGGTAGCAGATTACTCACAACGGGAACGATTTTAGAAAAAGTATTATTATATGTCAAGAAGCCTTAAAACATTGACTTGAGCTAAACGCAAACAATTCAGGTTTATGGCGAGATTTAGTTTCAACATGAGTGAATCTTTAATGGCTGCCAGTTATGTTTAAGTAGTTGAATAGCATACTTACTGATGGCACCGTCTCGGTCGCCAATGTAACCGTGGTTCATGCTGTTGCCGATGTTGATCCAGATCCAGATGCGGTTGTGGGTGTGGGTGTGGATGCGGATGCCGCTGCGGAAGACGTTGCTGAGGCGGTCGGCGATGCCGAGGCGGATGACGATGCTATCGTCGATGTCATCAGCGACAACCTAAACAAAGGAAATGCGTGTTATATTGCGTTATATATGTATGCACAAGGGATCAGATTGACGGCAATCACAGCTGTTATGGGGCGGTCGGGTAGCCTAGTGGTTAAAGCGTTGGCTCGTCACGCCGAAGACCCGGGTTCGATTCCCGACATGGGTACAATGTGTGAAGCCCATTTCTGGTGTCCCCCGCCGTGATATTGCTGGAATATTGCTAAAAGCGGCGTAAAACCATACTCACTCACTCACTCACAGCTGTTATGAACCCATGGGACATGTTTTATTGTCATGGAGATTGATCTTTACCATATTATAACAGCATATCCCCTTTCCCACACATATCAACACCTATAGCTCTAGAAGAATACACAAC